GATAAATTGGTCGTTGAATTTTCATTGGTTATTTATTGAATCGAACCGGTTGTTTGGTTAATGGTTAATTGTTTGAATTAAGTCGAATTGTTTCTGCTGGTTATGTGCGGTTGCTAGTTTAGTACGTTTGTTGATAATTGTTGAGAATTAGTATTTATGGGAATACTAATTCGAAGTTTTAAAAAAAAAAAAAAAGGGTTGGGTTGTTTCATGTCATGCCAGAAAAACGTATTCTCCCCATTCCCGATATCAACCTTATGAAAAGTTTGAGCTAACTCACGATATTTCAGTAGTTTTCGCCACGTCCAGGAGCCCGTAGTTCTTGAGTCTCGAATTGCCCAAATAGGTCCTTGTCGAAGAAACATGTTCTTGATCCACTTTACACTAATAAACTTGATTATATTTACATGTAATTTTCTATTACAAAAGTATTTATCTAAACATTCATGTAGTTGATTGTATATACATATAATTCAATATATTTTTAATTATATACCCACATTATAGCTAACTATACATTAATATAGTTGTTATATTTACATATAGTTACCTATATTTCTATATTCCTATTAAAAATGCATGTAGACGTAAGTAACTCTTTATATATCTAGTATAAGTAATCTTTCTAGTTAACTATATATAAAGCAAACTATATATTCATATAGTTGGTTTGTATTGACAAATAGTAACTATATTTATTTAAATAGATAATTATTACAACAACATTTTTATCTAATCAACTATGTGAAATCAGTGTTTTATATAATTACGTTATGAATATAGTTAACTACTCCCTCCATTTTTCTATATAGGATGTTTTGGAGGGTTTTTTTTTTGTTTCATAATATAAGATGTTCTCATATTTTTATGTATCTTTTACTTTTATTAAATATTGTGTGGTCAATAGTAGTTTGCAATCTTTTCTATAATTGGCTAAGTTGTTTTTAGTTTATATATTAATTTATACTTTTTAAAAGCATTTGTTTTTCTCAATTTTTGTGCTTTTAGCTAAAACATTCTATAAAGAAAAACGGAAGGAGTATGTTTTTAAATTAGTAGTTATTATCAGAAAATGAGTAACTATTTTTGGATAGTTACAGAAACATTGCGTGTAAATCAAAATTTAAGCAACTGTTAAGAACATTTTGAGCAACATTTTGAAATATACTAAAGTTATTGTTTAAGATTTCAAGTTTGGTTTAGATTTTATAAGTAACAGTCATATATTAAAATGAAATTGATGATGTCGGTGTGTCTTTCAAAATATGACAATGTATTTTTTTTTTGGGATAAAATGACGGTGTTTTCAAAGAATGTTTGGAGTTCTTCGAAAATTGTGGAAAAAGCACGACGTGGATTTGGGATGGTTAAGGAGGAGGTAAATAAAATGGGCTTCATTTACAGAAGAAAAAAGTTGTTGAGAGTCATGATCAAGTGAAACACTGGAGGAAACTGGGTAGAGAAAATGGTTTTTATTGTTTCGGAAATGGGAGTGATGAGAATGTGGATTTATACATGTAGTAATTCTTTTCACTGCACCACTCTGACTCATTTATTCTCTATTTTTGACTTTTAAAAGAAAAAAAAATCTAAGCGTAATAAAATAGAGAACTTTTAAGAAATGTCATTTTTGAAGTGTTGTTTTTTTAAAATGTCACTTTTCAAAATCTTTTACAAAATACTACTTTTTAAAAATTATTTACTTAATATA